ATTTCCTGAGGACCTGCCCACTGCCGTCTTTGAAGACGCTGGCTCAGTATATCCCTTCTGTAGTCTGTCTTTTATTTTATCACTGACCACATTCTTTTGCAGTTTGTATTTGCCTGTGTGTCAGTGTCCCCAGCCAGTAGCCTGAGACAGGAAAGAGCTTTTTAATTGAAGGAAGGAGGGAAGGCTGCTTTTAGGAACTGAGGAGACCCAGGTGCCTAAGGGACTCGGGGGTGTGGGGAATGCATCAGAATCACCGTCATCTGGACTTTGTGGGTTTAAAACAAGAGTGGGTTCTTGGGCCCTACCCCACAAGAGTGGGTTCTTGGGCCCTAACCCTGGAAGGTTCTGGGGTGTTAGGCTCTAGAATCTCTTCCTTTGGAAGAGCAGCAGGTGCTGGATATTTAGTGCCTCCCCCCCCACCCCCATTTAGGATCCTTCTCAAGGCACGCCATACCCGGCTAGCACAGGAGTCTTTATGAGGATAGAAACCCCAAAGTAGAGCAAGTGTCCAGTAGCAGACTCCCTACTTAGCAGGGGCAGAATTTCCCTTCATTTTCCCTCCTTCATTCATTCAATTGCTTGATGTTCATTGAACCCTATGGACAAGACCCCATGTGGGATAGTTCAGCAGCTTAGTGCTACATCCTGCCTCTGAGAGGGACTTAGATTGTAGCAGTGGAGAGAAGATGTAGTGGCCATATATAAGTTAGCTAACTTCAAAGAAGAAGTAAAAGGTGCCTTTTGTGGTTTTGGAAGCTCCTGTGATACACTTTCTGGAATCCAGGAAGGTTTTGGGGAGGACAGATCATTTAGTCTGGGCTTCAGGGAAATGAGTAGGTAATTGAAAATGCGAAGATAGGGTGGGGAAGCACTTCAGACAGAACCAGGGATGGGGAAGTGTGGAAGGTGTGAAGGGGAAAGGTTTTATTCCCAGTGTTGAGGACTCTGAGTGCCCATGTCAAGAAGTTTTGACTGGGTGTTTTGACCTTTGGTTTATGTTTGGATACTTGTTAACGTAGTTTCTTGCCATCACCCCTCAGATACTGATTCCCTCAGTTTGGCGTGGGACCCAACCATGTGTGGTTGTTTTAATAATCTTTCCTAGGTGATTCTGATGAGGGCAGTTTGGAGACCACACTGACAAACTCTGCTGTCAGCACTGGAGAGCAGTTGAAAGGGTCTGAATAGGAAAGTGGTACCAGTGGTTTTGTTATTTGTTCAACAACTTTTTTTGGAGCACCTACTATGTGCCAGATAGTAGTGATGGGGTGATGAATAGAATATACCCTTCCTCCCCTTTTGGAACATTGAACCTCATAAAGAAAACAGTACTTCCACAATTAACCATTTAATTAAAGAACAAAATGAAAAAAACTCCTTAGCAACCTAAGAACAGAAAGAAATTTCTGTAACCTGATAATTGTTACCTACTAAACTACAGCAAATGTTGTATTTAATGGTGAAACTTCAGAAACTGCCAGGCAGAACTGCCTGCAGTCAGCAGCCCTGGTCAGCATTGCAGTTAAGATAAAGACATGGGTGTTGGAAAAGAAGAGACAAAACTCATCAGCCTCCTTTGGTTTTGAACCTGTTGAGTTTGAGGTGCCCATGAGACCTCACAAGGAAGGTGTCAGGTCGGGGATTAGAAATATGTACTTCAACTTCCCCAAAGTTCTTTCATTTCTTCTACTTAAGATTTTATGAGGAAAAGCCATCCTAGGAAAACTAAGATAGAATCCAACTTTTTTAGTACTTTAAAGAGAAATAAAAACTTCTGATAACAAAAGAAAAACAAACAAGAAATATGTACTTAAGGGAATTTCCCTGGTGGTCCGGTGGTTAGGACTTGGTGCTTTCACTGCCAAGGGCCTGTGTTCAGTCCCTGTTCGGGGAGCTAAGATCCCACAAGCCGTGAGGGGCAGCCGTAAAAAAGAAATACATACTTCATGTTTATAATCGTGCACATGATTATCACCTCCAGGAAGAATGTTCTGGCCGCAGCCCTGCCACTAGAGGATTTGGGGCCTGGACGTGCCCCTTACCCTCTCTGAGCCACTTTGTTCCCTTGTCTAATGTCTGTTGGGCTTGACCTGTGAGGCTCTGATTTATGATCAATAACGATTTGAATAAGTTATTGAGTTCACCCACCCGAGTGGAGGAGTTACTTTTAGTTTTTAAGCACTGAGAGTGCTAGACTGGATTTGTGATTTGTGGGAGCAGTGGAATCTGGAAGGGCCTCTGTGTGTGGCTCTTCGGGGCTGAGCTGGAACAGAGGTCCTGGGGTAAGGGTGGAGGCAAGCACCTTGAGAATGGAGGGTGAGCTGTGCTCTGTGAAGCACCTACTGACAATGCTCCTTCTCTCTCTAGCCTCACCTGAGTCACCTTCCATACTCTTCATGGGCTCCTGGCTCTGGACTTTGGCTCCGTCTCCACGCCCCACCCAGTCTGTCCTGGATGCTGGCAGGGCCGTAGCAGAGAGCTCACCTGGACTCAGTGGCTGGACGCCCAGCCCTTCTTCACCTGTGCCCATCTCCTGAATCTATAGTTACTGCAAAAATCTGCCACATCATGCTGGCCGGCAGGTCCTATGGCTTCTGGCTGAGAGCTCTGTTGTCTGTGCCAACCCATTAAAGGGCAGCTTCTTCCGGCCATTCTGAATGTGTTATTTGGGGACCTCAGCCTGCACTCAGCCCCCCACCATTGTTCCGGGGGGAGGTGGGGTAGGATGCACACACACCCCTTAGTTCTACAGTCTTCCACTCCTCTCCCCCCATCACCAGATAGGCGGTTTCATCCCAGGACAAGAGGAAGCAGCACTCTCCACTGTACTTCTCCCATTTTCCACACAACTTCAGCCTCATACTTTTGGCTTCAAAGATGAGTCTGTTTCAACTCTCTCCTAGGCCAGTGTGAGGATCCTGAAGGGCTCTGGGGCACCTGGCTACAGGGCAGTCTTGTCCTCTTTCACCCAGGGTGGATGGAGGTTTGCTGGCCTGGCTGCTAGGTGCCCAGGACCGCCTCAGACCAATCTCGGTAGGCCCTTTCCTTTAGGGCCTTGGGTGGGTGCGGAGCCGGGCTGGAGAGGCGAGGGTAGCTGGGGCGGCTCCAAGCGTCTCCGAGTTGCTCGCGGGGCGGGGCCCCGGGGCTTCGGGCGGGTGTGGCCGGTTGCTGGTGGGTGGGTCGGGTTTGCTGGGCCCCGCCCCTGAAACCTTCCTCGCGGGCGGTCAGAGGGCGGGGTTCGTGCGCCGTGGCGTCACAACGCCAGTCCCTCCTGACGGTGCTGCGCAGGCGAGCTGGAAGCGGAGGCCGGCACTGGGATTCTCCTGACCGGCGGCTCGGGCGGTGCGAGGTGAGGGTCGGGCCCTGCCGGGGCGGGGGTGGCGTGCGGCCCGTCCCGTACCTGACGGGCCTCTCGTCCTGCAGAACATGGGAGCTCAGCTGAGCGGTGGCCAGGGCGCCGCGCAGCCGGTGCAGCCCGTGCAGCCCGCGCAGCCCCAGCCCCAGCCCCAGCCCCAGCCCCAGCCTCAACCTCAGACCCACCCCCAACCCCAGCCCGCGGCGCCCGAGGGCCCTGGGCGGCCCTGGCCAGAGCCCGGCCCCTGGGGGCCGCTGGACGACGTGCGCTTCCTTATCGTCTGCACCTCCTGGTACTGACTCGTCGCCCTCCGCACTTACCGCCCGCCGCCTCCTGTCATCCTGTATGCCTCTCCTGCTCGGGTCCTTGTCGTCTCTCCCCACCTTCCGCCACCCCGGAGACGCGCGGAGAGTCGGGGAGCTCGCTGGGGACTGGAAGGAAGCCTCCTCCGCAGCCTCGCCTTGGGACACCGTCTTGCCTCTGGCCCCTCCCGCTACCCCAGATTCGTTGGCTTCTCAGCCTGCACCCAGACCAGCTCAGACCTTCGTGTTCATCCCCACCCCACAGTTTCTCCAGCCGTCTGGGTGCTGGGGCAGCCTTTCCTGTCACTGGCTTCCAGAACCAGGCCAGGGCTCTTGGTAAGAAGACCCCAAGGCTGCTGACCTAATCTCACCTCATTTTTCCCTGTTGCCAAGAACTGGGCTCTTGCTTTTGTCCTTGGTCATGGCACCATGTGCCTTGACTTGAGAAAAGACCTTGCCACAGTGAACCTGCCCATACCTCTCCTGGGAGGGGTTGCTCCGCCATCCTGGGTGCCACCCTGGCATTATCTGGCTGTTTTCCTGAGACCCCAGTAACAGAGGGCCTCCAGGGCCAGCCTTTTGGAGAGAGGGGGCATCTGATTTTTGGGCCGGCAGATGAGATGCATGGGGCACCTCCCAGACACTGCAAAGCACCCTGTCTCCCAGAAGCTTCTTAAGGCCACCCAGAACCTGATCCTTGTTCCCACATCCCAGGGAAATGACACACTCTGTATTTTTGTTTTATTTAGAAATGATTTAAAAAACATTATACAAAGGCTGATCAGTTTAAAATGTGACTGACACTGAAATGCTGTGATGTTCCCCAGACTGAGGGGAAGCTGGGCTCTGGGACCTCCAGTGCTTTGCCCCTCTGTCTGCCCTGTCCTGGGATGATGGACAAACGGATGACCACAAGGCAGGAGAATCCATGATTGGAAGCCTCCAGGCTGAGCCCTCTCTGGGCCTGGCCCTGCATCCCTCACATCTGCAGCCTGGGCTGCCTGCCTCCATCTCCTGCTCTTTCTCAGCTGACCTCGGTAGTACCAGGAGCCAGTGGGGAGCCTGGGGGGCCTAGAGCTTTCAAGAAGTGAGAGCACCAACCTGAGGAGTGGAGAGGGACCCGGAAGGGGAGAAGGGAGGCCAAGAAAAGATGGATAAAGGAGACACTTCTGATCTCATCTTGGACCCTAGAGGGGTCTAGCAAGCCCACTGGGTGGCCTGGGCAAGTAACAGCCTCTCTGTGCTTCATTTGAGGGCACAGTGAGAGTTATCCTTGGCCTCCCAGGGACTGCATGAGTTACATGTGAGCGGACAGGGGTGAGCTAATAAAGTGCTTTGCAAAGTATAAAACACTGTACAAACCTATGAATCACTAATATCTCTGCAGTTGTTCCCCACCCGCCCCAGGGAGCCCGCCCTTGGCCAAAATGAGAAAAAACAGGATGATGACAGGGAACACAGTGGACCCATATAGGTGTCTCTGGGATGAGATATTTTGCTCAAGACAGCTCCCAGAGTCCCTGTCTGCTACAGGTTAAGCAGACTCAAAGCCCAGAGGCCATGGGGTGGGGGCAAGGCCCATGCAGGCTCAGAGGCCCTGCCAGCACCCTGGAGACTGACACCTCTGCTTGGATTTGGCAGGGAGCCAGTGGACATAGTTGAACCCATTGGTTTTGCCTCCGGCTCCGTAGTGACAAGCAGGGCTGCCTCTTACTGGGTTGGAGTGAGGCAAGCCGAGCCCTAGGAATTCCTGCCAGAGACAGTGAGGGGCGGGCCCCTAGGCTTGGGGTTGTTACCAGTTGTGGCTGCCCTTTTCCGAAGAGCAATGCAGGGTGATGGGCCCAGAGAGCTGGGTTAGCAGGGGCCAAGCTCATGGTATAAACACTGCTTCTGGGCTGAGAGATTGAAGTGGTCTCAGGGTAGCTAGGGGTGTGGGCTCTGAGCACTTCAGAAGGCTGCCCTGGGCCCCTTAACCCAAGGCCGTGAGAATGTTGGCCCAGAGCTATTTCCGTCTCACCTCACTAGTCAGGCTGAGTCCTCAGGCCACAAGTGACAGGCTGGAGCAGGGCCAGGGACTTGGGGGATGGGGAGAGGAATGGGAGAGTGGAGGACAGCTACAAACTCAGATCAGCCTCCGAGGTGGGGTCAGCTCCTGCTCCAGCCCTTTAGCCTCATTAGCGGGGCCCAGCTCCTGGCGTGTCTGGGCACTAGAGTGGCCTTAACAGCACCTTGGTCCTTATCGCTGGGGGGAGGGCTGGCCTCATCACCAAGACAGTCACCTCTAATTCACCTAAAGCCTCAAGCAGCCTTTGCAGAATGGGACTTTAAACAATAGTGACAGGACATTGAAATATTCACGACATGACAGCTGGGTCCTTGTCAGACCCAGCTGGGCCACAGCCCTGCCTGCAGCATGTGACCCTAAATCCTGGGTCTCAGGAGACCCTGACGTGTGGAGCAGGTTTCTTGAGGGATCTGCTGTTGCCAGCAGAGGAAACCCAGGCTTGTTGCCCACTGTGTCGGCAGCAGGGGTCCTGTAGCCTTGGAGGACGGTGGGGTAGGGGTGGGGGGACATCTGACCAGCAGGTGTTGGCAATGGGGGACCAGGACTGGTGGCATCTCCCAGATGGGGCTGAGACCGCTAGCGCTGGCTTCCCACAGAAGGTGCTGGGTCCAGCCAGGTACAGATGGCGCTGTGGTGCCTCGTGGACGCCACAGGGCGCAGTGACCACGGGCCTCCTCCTGGCATGGTCCCTGCCTCCTGATGGGGCCTGGCCTATTCCCTTGAGTAGGGAGCAGTTTACCCAGGACAGAAGGCTGGCAGCTGGGCGCCAGACACCCACCCTGGGGCACAGCTGCCATCACTCCCTGCCCCATGCTCAGCCTAGGCCAATGCACCACCACTTCGGCTACATGACCCCTGGCCTAGGGCCATGCTGGCCCCGGTGGGCAGTGGCCAGAGCTGCCCCTCAGACCCTGGTGAGGAAGGGCCTGGCTGGCCAGACCGAGTGGACAGAGAGGGCTCTGGGCTGCTCACACCCACTCCTGGACTGGCCGCTTATAGTAGGTGACAGGCTGAGGGCCTGCCTTGTTCTTGAACTGGAAGATGGTGTAGACCAGCACCAGGATGCAGAGGGACAGGATGCAGGGGATGACCACGGCCACTGCATTCACAGAGCCTGGCACGTCGTTGATGGTCACCATGATGTCCACATCGTCCTGGGGCAGCCGCCGCTCCTTGCGCCTCTCCACCTCCTTCTGGTTGCAGCCCATCCAGTCACGCAGGATGTTGCGCGGGTAGCCTGGCTCCACGCTTAGTTTCTGGTTGTCAAATTTCCAGTAGTCCCGGCCCTTGTAGAAGTAGGTGTAATCTGCAGAAACACGGCCCATCATCACCATCCCAGACACTTCCCTGCACCTGTTCTGCACCAGCGTGAGAGGGCCCAGGGTGCTGTGGCAGCGTGGAGGAGGGGCGCCTCTCCCACCTGGGAGGAGCCCAAGAGGAGCTCTGAAAGGCGGGTGGGCACGTGACGTGGTGGGGGCGTGTTGGAACTCTTGGAGGTAGGCATGCGGTGCCTTGCACACCCTGCAAGTGGTGTGGCTGGTCGTGGAGGACGACCTGCCCAGCTGCAGAGAGGCACCTGGGACCTGGAGCAGCCCACCCTGTCATCTCAAAGGTGCTGGGAAGCCACTGAGGGGCTGGAAGTAGCATTGGTAAGCTCATTTTGTGCTTCCCAGACAGGACTCTTCTCAGCCCTGGGTCTCAGCTCTGCCATCCTGTGCCCATAGCCTTGCCCTTCCCCCATGTGAGTCAGATCAAGCCCCCAACTTAAGGCTTGGACGGCACTGTCTCCATAGCTCTAGGGCTGAGCCAGCTCCTGCCTGAGCCAAGGGAGGCAGGGAGCAAGATTTCTCCCGTTGACGGAGGGCACCACCTCTTCGCAGTTATCACGGACTTTTTTTGGCTTGGCACACGTGACTGTGCAACACAGATTGCAGGGTCGTTGGGACCCTGCTGGGGGAGGGGCTGGAAGGAAAAGAGGCAGCAGGGCTTGGCAACCACCACAAGGCTTCCTGCAGCAGCCTTATCGCCCCGCCAGTCCACAGACACAGAGCAACTCACACTCTCCTATTGGCCGGCTCCCCACCTTGGCTGGGATTTTCATTGGCTGAAGTTCTTGATGTCACCTGTCTCTGAGGCTCCCCAGAAAGTGAGACCATGTGTGTAAAGCATCAGGTACACAGGAGAGCCACCAAATAGCGGCTCTGCCCCTGTGGCTGCTGGCTTTGTTACCGGTGACGTCTCCTTGGAGAGCCCTTCCTGACGACCCTCTCTCACATGGCCCTCTCCCTAGATGCTCTCTGGCAAATGCTTTCCCTTATTGCATTTGTTGCCACTTTGTTTTTTGCCTCTAGACTGGGAGCCAGGGATGCAAGGCAAGTCTTGTTCTAAGCTCCATCCCCAGCCCTCCCACACAACCTGGCTCTCAGCAATTATTGTGGAGTAAATGAATGACACCTGACATTCCATAAAAACTAAAACACCCCAACAAGATAATAATGATGATAACAGCTAAAACTTAGTAAGCAGTAGAGGTGGGATATGAAACCAGCCAGGCTGGCTCCAGGGTCTGTGCTTTTGACCAGATGAGCAGAGATGGATTCAACAAATATCCATGGATAGCCACTCTGCACCTGGCAAGTCCCAGCCCCTCTTCTTGAGAAGCTTCTAGTCTGGAGCAGGGAGAGGCTGTGAGTCAGCCTGGCCTCCAGGAGGAGCTTAGGAAATGTCTCATAATTAGAAAATGCTTCTCTCTTACCTTTAAGCCCTGTGAAAAAGCACCTTTGAACCACCACATCCATCATTTCAGATCTGTTACCTTGAGGGACTCCTAGAGTACACCTGAGGACCACTGTTTGAGAAATGCTATCTGAGGGAATGAAGTCAGTCTATGAAAACATCTCTCAATTGTGAATGATCCCTACAGATGAGAAATTGTGACTTGGCTGCTGGTAAGAGAGGATTAATTTACTGTGTAAACATGGGTCGATATGAGGCACTTGTCTTTACCACCAGGCGGTGTTTCTCAAACCTGGATACCTTGAGAGTATGCCCGTGGGCCCCGGTGAGACCCACGTAAAATCAGACTCCCCCTCACAAAACCCAGCCCGTTTCTTACGTACATCCTTCCTTGCTGATGAAGGCCCCTTGGGGAGCCTGGGGGATGCCCTTCCACACGGTGATGGGCTTGGGATAGCCAGGGTCCGTGGCCCGCCGCTCCTCGCTGTAGCGCCAGTACCGCTCGCCTTTGAAAAAGTAGGTCTTGCCCACAGGTTCCCAGCGCAGAGCTGTGTCAATGCCTTCTCGGGGCAGACAGCTGCCCAGCTCCCCCAGGCTGTGGGGGTACCCAGGCTCCACCGTCACCTCCTTAAACACCCAGTACTTGTCACCTGTGGCCAAGAGGAACCCAGGATTAGCCTTCCTCGGTCATTCATGCTGGAGGTTGTGGATAGAGCCACTTGCCCATCATCCACTGGGACCAAAGTCATTCATGGAGCCAGTGTCAGGGGGAGATGGCCCTGGTCCTGCTTGATCCCTGTGGCGGAGGAGGCTGAGGCCTCTTGGCTCAGGCAGAGCTTAGGGGGCAAGAAGCCAGAATCCAGTCTCAGATCCTGGGCAACTCGCCCCACGCTGCCCAGGCTCCGTGCCCCACCCTCTTTTCCTTTCGTGTGACTTGCTCCTTTTTCCTTTCCGGGTGACCTCAGCCTCTCACGGCTTCACACACACACTAGTACTCCCCCAACCTTCTACCAGTGACACCCAACTCTGAGGCTGCCGCTCTCCCAGTGGACCTGGGCACCAGGCCCAGGACCCTGATTGCCCACTGTCCTCTGGGCATTTCCAGGTCGGCTTCCGGAGTTCCTCCTCTCCACCCCAGGGACTCCCTCCCTCACCACCTGTCTGCTTCCCAGTGTCCCCAAGAAGGTGGCATCACCCTCTCTTTCCTTCTCCTCTCAGCACTTAGCCTCTCACAAGGCCTTGTCAGCCTCCTAGCCTCACTGCTCCTCCCTGGTACAGGCCTTACAGACATCGCTCTCCTCAACTCCAGCAGCCGTCTCAGAAACGGCCTCCTGCCTCTGCCTGGATTGCCGCCTGCCCCCTGGCTCTCTGCTGCTCAGAAACAAACAGTGAACTTCCAGCATTGCCCTGATGGATTAAGACCACAGTCCGGCTGGGCAGCCAGGGCTCCTCAGGACTCTCCCCTAAACTACCTTTCCAGGCCACTTCTCACAGCTCTCTGGTGGGGCTCCATGGCTGTCTGGTGGGTCTTCTAAAGCCCTTTGAACTATTCCTTTGCCCATGCTGTTCCTTCCCCTTGGAATGCTTTTCTCAGTCCTCACTATCTGAATCTTACTCTTCTGAGGCCTGGCCCAAGTCAAGATAATCGAAGTGAAACAACCTAGCACAGGGTGGGCCTGCCATACAGCTAGTTCCCCCTCCTCCCCTGGCCTCTGCAGCCTGCGTGACCTCCCCGCCTCCAGGCTCTTACAGAACTCACAGGGTGGCCTTCCATGGAGCACTGGATGGTCTTCAGTTGTCTGCACCTCCCTCTACTTTGTGGGGGTGAGGCTTGTCACCCCACCAACTTCGGCACATACAGACCCTCAGCAATCACTCCCTGACTTAATTTCTCTGCCTGCAGGGATCTGTCCTGTCAGATGGCAGTGTTTCTGTTAGAGCTAGAAGGACCCTTGCAGCTCATCCGCCTCCCACCCTGCCTCTTCCAGTTTACAGGTGGAAAAAGGGGGTCCCGAGAAGGGCAGGAAAGCGTGCCAGGTCCTTCTGCACAGGCCACGTTACCTTTGAAGAAGACAAATCTTCCATCAGCCCTTTCATAGGCTGCGTCTATGCGGGCGGGCAGGCCTTTCCAGAACTGCTCGATCTGCATGGGGTAGCCCTCCTGTACCCGGTTATTGCGCAGGCGCCAGAACCAGCGATCCTGGGGGTTAAGGCAAGGAAAGAAAGAGGCATAGCCTTTGAACCCAGAGATCTCAGCCCTGGGGCTCAGGCCCCAACAGCCCAACACGTTCCCCTGGGCCCAGCCTTGCAACCCTCCCTGATGTCTGCTTCTATCTTTCAAAGCCCAGTGAGGAAGATAAAATGCCCATCAACTCTCTTCACATAAGGCTCCTGATGTCTCTTGCTGCCCAAGGGGCCATGAGACAGAGCCAGCAGACAGGCCTGGTGGGCAGAGGAGGCGTCGCGGGGAGCTGGAAGGGATGATGCAGGTCCCGGGATGACCACATGAGGGCAGCAGAGAGTCACCGACGTCAGCGGGGCCCCTCCCCAGGCTGGTGGGAAGCAGGGGTTGGTCACTGAGCCCGGGCAGAGTGCCCTCCTCACGGCTGGCTCCAGCCAGCAGGGTAAGGTCTGTGGGAAGCAAGCCATGGAAATTCCCCCAAGCCCCGGGTGTGAGTGAATTCAGTTTCCTCCTCTTACAGTTGCGTGACCTGGGGCTCAGTACTTAAAGAGCCTCACCTGCAAAGGGGGGTAATAGTGGGGGTCAGATGAGAGACTATAGGTGAAGTGCCTAGAACAGTATAGGGCACATAGTCAACGTTAAGTAAATGGCAGCTCAATAGGCCAAGAATGTGAAAAAAGCCCTCCTCCTCAAATTGGTGCCTGGTCCCACTGCAGCCCTGGTTGGTAGGCAGTCTGGGCGAGGCCTGTAACCACCTAGGACCTCCGTTTTCTTATGTGTGAATGGGAATGATAAAACCCAGACTCGCTTAGGAACCGTTCAGTTGGAGGATCCAAGGGTGCAGAAGAATGAACATGATACATAAAAATGGTACAGGGGCTTCCCTGGTGGCACAGTGGTTAAGAATCCGCCTGCCAATGCAGGGAACACGGGTTCAAGCCCTGGTCCGGGAAGATTCCATAGGCCGCGGAGCAATTAAGCCTGTGCACCACAACTACTGAGCCTACGCTCTAGAGCCCACGAGCCACAACTACTGAGCCCACATGCCACAACTAGTGAAGCCCACGTGCCTAGAGCCCGTGCTCTGCAACAAGAGAAGCCACCACAATGAGAAGCCCGCGCATCGCAACGAAGAGTAGCCCCCGCTCACCGCAACTAGAGAAAGCTTGCGCGCAGCAACAAAGACCCAACGCAGCCAAAAAAAAAAAGGTACAAAAGCTAGAAAAGTTTTTTTTTTTTAGGTGTTTTACGAAGCACTTTCACATCCAGTTTTTTAAACCTTATTTTGACTTTCACAACTCCTCTTAAGTAGATCTGAGATACACAGAGTCTTAGGGAAGGCCAAGTGACTCTCCTTGAGCCATGCAGTGAGAGCAGGACTGGGGCTGACCCCTGTCGCCTGATTCTTGGTCAGAGCTCAAAGCTTGCTGGTGAGAATTCCACAAGGTGAGTGGGGCAGCTCTCCACAGCCAGCCAGTGTGACAGAGACACGCTGTCAGCGGAGGGCCTCTTGTGCTGTTGGCCGGGAGTGTGGTCAGCAGGCAGTTTTCAACTGTCAACCTCGCTGGGGATGGCCTAGCTCCAGAGAGCTCCCCCAAGGTCATGCCCCCCCCTCACCCATTGACTGAATAAAGTTCCAGCCTTTTGGGGCCCAACATGGGACAACTCTGACGGGCCATTCTAGTTCTGGAACTCGCTGTGGGCATGGCCGGGTCTGCAGTGGATCTAGTTGCTGCTTATCTTCTCCGGCCCCATCGTGCTTCCCTCCCCTCCTTCCCACAGATGTGGATCCCAGAGGTGCTCCCTGGTCAAAATCTTGCATCCCAAACACTGTCCCAGAGCCTGCTTCCCTGAGAACCCAACTGCAACACACTGAGCAGGCTGCCACCCTGCAACCCATGGCTAGAGGGACAGGAACAGACCAGGGGACAAGATGTAGCCTGGCCAGCTTCCTGTCAGGCGGTCCTCTGAACCAGCCCTGGCAGGATCCGGAGACAGATGCAGCCACTGCTGTGCCAGCCCCTACTCCAAGCCAACGTCTTCACAGCCATGACTCCTTTGATCTGCACACACCCTTCATTAGAGAAATGACCCTCCCAGCCCTCAGATGGAGAAACTGAGGTCCAGACAAGGGAGGTGACTTGCTCAGAGTCACAGAGTGGAGGCCGGTCTCCAGCACTTTCCCCCCAGCGTTAACCCTCAGGAAGGGGCAGGGTCACCACTTCCCGCCTCCCTCTTGGAAAGAAGTCCATTCACCCAGCAGCACCAGGAAGAGACCTCATGGCCTGGCCGCTGGGCTAGCTCCCCTCCAGGCCCCACAGCAGGCCTAATCCCAGAGCAGCAGCTCTCTCCCGCCCCAGGTGGGGGAAGGAGTGGGAGGGGAGCCCCGAGGTCCTACCTTAAACACAAACATCTCGCCCCGGAAGAGGGCCACCGTGTTGAAGTTGCCGTCACAGATGTTGGGTTTGGCGCCTGGTGTGGCTGGCCGGTCCCCCAGGGGTGGCCGAGGGGGCCTGGGCTGGCGCTCATGCTTCCTCTCAGACGGTGAGTGGATCCTGCGGACGGGGAGTGTGGGGAGGGGCCTTGTGGGCTCCAGGGGCTCCGCGGGGGGTCCTGGAGAGAGGGGCTGCATCTTAGAGAAGGGCCAGGCGTGCCCTGCCCCCGCTGCCATTGCCTCATCCTCACCCGGGCAGCTCTGAGACAAGCCTGTCACACTCCAGCCTCCAGTCCCCCCTCTCCCATTGTTTACTCCCCCAGTCTTTGACAAAATCCATGAAAAGAGCCGTTAAATGGGAACTCCCATCTTTCCACCCCCAAATCTGGTATCATCTCTTTCTTCTCTCCTGTTACGAGAGAGGACATGTCCCTTCTTAGGCTCAGTGTCCCCTACCCTCTCTGTCTGCTCCCCCCATTCTTTATCCTGCTCCAGCATGGCCTCTGCCTCGTCACCCACTGAAACTGCTGTCAAGATCACCAATGACCTCCATGTTGCCAAATCCAACATTACTTGACCCAAACTTTGATGTCCATATGGATCATTCAGGGATCTTGATAAAATGCAGATTGTGACTCAGAGGGTCTGGGGTGGGGCCTTCGATTCTGTGTTTCTTCAAGCTCTCAGGTGATGCCAGAGTTACTGGTCTGAGGCCCACACTTTGAGTAGCAAGATCATACAAACACTTTCCTTGAAACACTCTTCTCTCTTTTCCAGAACCCTGCACTCTTGGTTTTCCTCCTACCTCGTGTACTGTTCCTTCTCAGCCTGCTTTGCTGGCGGCCTTTCCTCATCCACCCTGCTCTAAAGGTCGGCATGCCCCTGTGTCCTCTCCTCTCCCCTCCCTTCCCCTTCTCTGTCTGTCTGTCTGTCTCTGTCTCTCTCTCTGTCTTTCTCTCTCTATTTTGGTCCTAGGTCAGTGCTTCTCAACTTGGGCTGCATATTAGGATCACCTGGGGAACTTTTAAAACCTCCTGATGTTCAGAAGTCACCCCAGACCAATTAAAACCAAATTTCTGGGGGTGAAGGCTGGGTATCAGTTTTGTTTTGTTTTTTTTGCTGTACGCGGGCCTCTCACTGCTGTGGCCTCTCCCGTTGTGGAGCACAGGCTCCGGACGCGCAGGCTCAGCGGCCATGGCTCACGGGCCCAGCCGCTCCGCGGCATGTGGGGTCTTCCCGGACCGGGGCACGAACCCGTGTCCCCTGCATCGGCAGGCGGACTCTCAACCACTGCGCCACCAGGGAAGCCCCAGTATTTTTTTAAATTGAAATCCCAAGGTGATTCCAATGCACTGCCAAGTTGAGAATCACTACCCGAAGGGATCTCTTCCAGGTTCATGGCTTTAAAGACCTCTGTTCAAGCTGTCCCATAGAACGTTCTGTGATGACATACATGTCCTATATATCTGCACTGTCCCATACAGAAGCCTTTAGCCACGTGTGGCTATTGAGCACTTGCAATGAGAGACTAGTTATTAGTGCGGCAGAAGAACTGAAGTTTTAATTTTATTTAATTCTAATTAATAGAAATTTAAATAGCCACATGTGGCTAGTGGCTACCGTATTGAACACCAAAGATCCCAGATCAATATTCCAGCCCACATCTCTGAGCTACAGAGGTCAATCTATTGCTCCACAGTTACAAAAGCCAGAAACCTCACCCCTGTGTCTAATCTATCAGCAAATAGCGTCCATTTTATTTTCAAAAGACCTCCTAGTCCCCACTACCTGTCCAGTCCTCTGCTGCCTCACCTGTGGAGATCCTGCCCATCCTCCAGGCTTTGGGTGGGGCGCGACCTCCTCTGTGAGGTCCTCAGGGCCTCCAAGAAGAGCCCTCCTCCCGTACTCCACAGCCTGGGGGCTGTAGGGGCCGTGCCATGTGGACATGCGTTTGCTGTAATAAACTGGTCTTCCCATCTCCACCGACTTGACGAGAACAAGAACTTCCCACACCAGTGTGAACAGAGAATGGGGTGGCATGGTAGCAGGCCCCTCAAATCTTATCAAGATATCAGCCTAGTTTGTCTTTTTCTTGTTTAAGAAAAAAGCTCTGGTAATAATACTTATCCTATTGTATCACCATTACTTGGGCAGATGGGTGACTCTCTTGGCTAGAGGTGGGACCCCTTGAGAGGGAACTACAGGAGGTGAGAGGGAGGTGGGGGAGGGGGGAGGCGGGTAGAGTAGGGGGAGTGGGAGGCTCTCTGTTCACTTTTGTCCCTCCCAGTTGCAGCTCAGACCCTCCCCTAGGTTTCCCAAGTGTGCAGGGAAGGAGGGGGGTGGGGGAGGAGCCTTGCAGACAGCAGTCAGAGGCCCAGGTCCCCAGCCGCCCCCCAACCCTCTGCCCCGACAGGCAGGCAGTCATGGCCCAGCCCAAGGAAGGAACGGTGGCCCCTCTCCCCTGCCACACACCGTAGATCTTCTGGATGCCCTGGAGATCATCCTGAGGCAGCTTGAAGTTGTGTGTCTCCATGTACTGGTAGAAGGGTGCCATGATGGCGCTGGGGTCGTTGGAGTGCTCCAGTCCCAGCGCGTGGCCCAGCTCATGCACAGCCACCAGGAAGAGGTCATTCCCTGTGGAGGGGGAGATGGGGAGGTGCCCAGGGCACCCACTCAGGTGTCAGTCAGTCAGTCAGTCAATCCATTACTTCAGCAAACACCTAGTATAAGCTTTGTGCCAGGCCCTGTCCCGGACACTGGGACATACACACCCCTACCTTCCAGAACACTCCATATAGTGGTGGATAGGGACAGAGAAACAAAATAAGTGAAATTAGTGTTCCAGGTGCTTCTACAGCTGTCTATAAGGGTCGAGTGAGGATTCCGAGGAGGGAGGAGTCATTTACGCTTGAAGGAAGATGTTCAGGGAAAGCTTCATGAAGGTGAGGCTTAAGGTGAGTCTAGAAAGATAAGAAGTTGGTCAGCAGAATGGATTCAGTGGGAAGGAGAGGGAGAGGGGCGGAGGTGGCATTGCTGGCTGAGAGAATGCTATGAACAACGTCCAGGGACAAGCAGTTTCATTCCACTTGGCTCCGGAACAAAGCAGGAGGGGAGGGCCAGAGGGAGATGAGGTCAGCCAGGCTGGCACGCAGGGCTTGTGATGCCATGCAAAGGAATTTGGATTGGCTTCTTGGCCAGTGGGGGGTTTAAGCAGGTTGGTGTCGGGGACGGGGGGGCTGGTGGTGACATGATGAAATCACTCTGGCTGCAGTTGGAGGAAGGATTAGGGGGTGATGAGACCAGAGGCAGGGGGATCAGTGGGGTTGGTCTGGAAGCCAGTATGAGGGTCCCGGTGAGAGATGAAAAGAGCCTGAGCTAAGGCAGGCAGGCTCTGTGACGGGCAGAGGGGAGTCCTGGGGGCGGCAGGCTGGCGGTCATCTTCAGAGACTCGGGGGCAGGCGGAGCCTTGGTCGTGCAGCAGCTCTCGGTCCTGAAAGGACTGAGCTATGGCCAAGATCAACGCAGGGATTCAAATGCGAGTGAAAACGAAAGGTCCAGGTACTGAAAGTGGGACACGGGATCCCGAGGGTGAAGCTGAGGCAGCAACGCAGCAGAGTGGTCGTGAGCCTGGGCCCCTGAATAGGACAGGTCTCGTTCATTTCCAGCTCTACCCCAGTGAGCTTTGTGAATTCGGTCAGAAGGTCTACCCTCTGAGCCCCAATTTCCTTATTTGTACAACGCGGAGGTCGTACCTACTTCAGAGGGTTGTGTGAGGACCGGATAGGATAAGATGTGTAAAGGGCATGATGCTGCATGGCAGCTGTTGTCACCATGCATAAGACAGGAGCTTGGTCCCTGGAACAAGCCCGTTGACCAGAAAGGAAGCACGAGGCACTTGGGGTCCCAGCAACCGGATCCTCTTAAAGCCAACTCCCCTGAACTTCTGGGTCAGGCCTGGGACAGGGCAAGGCCTGACTTTGAGGGGATTAAGCAGCCCTGGCTTTGGGGAAGAAATGCAAGGGGCAGGGAGTTGAGCAGGCCGTCGAATCAACAGTCCTGACTCATATTATGTCCAGTTATAGACTCCTGCTTGCCTTGACCTGTGGCATTTGAATGTCCCTTGAGCCCTGCCTCTGTTGCCCAGCGCTAATGCATGTCACAGTCCAGTCCTGCCACCTTGAAGTGCAGGCGAGGCTGCCAAGAGCCCAGGAGGTGGTCAGGAGTCCTAGTGCTCACTCTGGCCCCAGTGGCACTGGCCAAGCTGCCGTACCCCAGCCCGGCTGAGGGCCCCACGAGGGTCAGATGAGCCTGGGGATTGTGTCTGGCCTTCCTGGCTAAGGTCTTGGGAAGAGAGAATAGCCCTATGGGGCAGACTCAGTCACACACACATGCATGCCGGCCGCTCCACGGACACCACCAGTACCTTCAGCGAAGGGTGGATGGCCAAGATCAGGGGAAGTTTGGCCAAGAGCCTGGGGCTGGCCTTCTGCTGGGGCAGGGCAGGCTGGCATGAGGAGGCCAGGCCTCCCCCAGTTCCTTCCTCAGGTCCTGGCCCCTCTGGCAGCGGGGAAGGGTGAGCTCATCTCTGAGCTCCATCCCAAACAAAGGTGGCTGCTCGCGCCAATGGAAGAGAGCCCTGCTTCCTGGGGTCCGGTCCTGGCTCTGCTCCTGGCCCGTTCTGTGACCCGGGACAAGCTGTTTGGGCCTCTGTCTCCTGACTAGGCTCTTCCTCAGGGAGCATCCGCAGGGATTTCAGCTGAGAACCAGGGAGCAGGGCTCTGAGCGCCTGGCTAGACTCTAAACCTTTGTCCTCAGCCTGTGTCTATTACTCTGTAAGCCTCTGTGCTGGGTCTCTGCAGAGAACAGGAGTAAGCCCTTGAAGGAAAGGGGTCTGTGGGTTTGTTCCAGGGACCAAAAGGCAGAGAGAGGAGAGCTGGGGAGCTGGCATCCTACTGCACAGAAACCCAAGAGACCTGTTAAGTGGGGGCTGCTCTGGGGAGATGGAAGGAGAGTGTGGAGGGGCAGGAGAACTCCAGAAAAAGCAGAGGGATGGAGAAGACCCACATGCTTTATGGGCAGGAGGCTGGTAAGGGCTTCACCACCCAAGAGGATGAAAGGCAGAGAAGCAGAGTGGTCAGAAGTGTAGTCCCTGGGGGTCTGACTGCCGTGACTCCCGGCTCTGCCATGTCCTAGCAGTGTGACATTTTAAATCTCTTCCTCTGTAAAATAAAGGGATTAATGGTACCTTCGTCATAAGAATGGGGTGAAGATTAATGAGGCAAGGTACAGAAAGCACTCACACCACCTCCAGGCACAGAACTATCACGGTTAATTAGCAAGTTCACGTTAAGCTATGTATGAAGGACCAGCATCCTCAACAGGGAGAGTTCCCTTGAGCTGGGAGCTCAAGTCCTTGGGCTTCCTAGCAAGCTCCCAACAGTCTACTTGGCTACTCCAGTGTATCTTGTCTCTGCTTCATTTCCTTCTCTTGGGACCTCCATCTTTGGTGAGTCCCATCTCATTGACTCCTGAAACCCTCCCAAAGGTTACAACATTTCCTTTTGCCTCTATTCTTTTGCCAATGCTGTCCCCTCTACCTGGAATAACCTTACTCCTTCAAAGTTCAGCTGAATGCCACATCCTCCAGGGAGCCTTCCTTGATTTCCCTAACCAGCAATGACTGCTTCCTCCTATACACTTTCCCAGCAGTGTATCTGTATCATCTTTATGGCCCTGACCACTTTCCACCCTACATCATAGCCAGGAGCACACACTGTCTTCTGCTCCAGGACTATGAGCTCCTTGAGGGAAAGCTCTGTGCTGGACAAGCCAGGATGGAACAGTGCCAAATGTTCAGTATTTTTTCCAGGTGTTGTCTTTGGACCATCTGCAGCAGAACCAACTGGAGTGATTGTTAAAAATTCAGAGTCCTGGGTTTGACACAAGTAATGTCTTCTTTGGATGAGAGTCAGGACTTTGCTCTGGAAAACCAAGCATGAACTATCCAGACGCAGTTCATAACCCCAGCAATAGATTGCTAGGAGCTGGGACGCAGCCATTGCCCTAGGATGGTTTTTGGAAGGACAGCAAAGGAACCAAGATTGATTGAGCACCTATACATTATCTCGTTTAATTTCCACATAAACTCAGCGAGGGCGTGATGCAGCCTCCCGGGAATTTTTGTTTGTTGGCTTTCTTCTCTGTTCTTCTGCCACTTACTGTGTGAACGTCTCAACCACTCAGAACTTTCCTTTCCTCACCACCCTGCCCAGTCTAGCTCCCAGGGTGGGGAGGAACCACTGTAGTAACTGCGGAAAGACTGTCCCCTCCGAAGGGCTGGTCCCCATGACGCTTCCCGTCTTGTCACCTTCCCCAGGGCTGGGCTCCCTCCCCAGCAGAGCTTAGTGAATTCTGCTGACTTCACTGCTTGACCCATTGGAAAGGGATGAGGATACAGGGTGCCTGGGAGGCTCCCCGAAATCAGCTTAAAGGTGTGGTGGGCCAGATCGCCCTTCGCACAGACTCCAAAGAAGTGGAGAATCAGAATCCCCTTTACATTCTAGTGGTTCTCCAGGAGAGCCTTTTCAACACACAGGTGGAGGGGATTCTGATTCAGGAGTTTGCAGTTAGGGCTTAGGCAACCTTTTTAAAATAAAGTCCCCCGCGGGAATTTTATAGTGGTTGGGTCAGGCTGACACACCTGAAGCAACTGCTCAAACTTCACGTCGCTAAGAGGGGGACGGCCTGTGTCACACGTGCTTCCTAACGTGATGCAACGGGGGGGGGGGGGACCAGCACCACCTGGGAAGGATCCTCGCCAAAAAGGTCAATCCAGTCAGGCCTGTAGATCTACTCAGGCTACATGGGGAAGAGAGACATGGTAAAAGTGAACCTAAGTCAGACAGAGAAAGGCAAATGCCATATGATATTGCTTATATGTGGAATCTAAGAAAAAGGGTACAAATGAACTTATCTACAAAACAGACATAGTTATAGATGTAGAAAATGAACTTATGGTTACCATGCGGTAAGAAGGGGCGAGGGATAAATTGGAAGATTGGGATCGACATATACACACTGCTATATATAAAATAGATAACTAATTTCTTCAACAGATATAGGGAGAAAAGAGAAGCAAGGTGACTGCTGTAAACGAAAAGGGCCTTAAGAGACGAATGATGTGTGGATGCTCTTTGGATCCTGTTGCAAGCAAACAACCGTTCAAGACATTTTTGAGGTAATTTGGGAAAATGAACACTGGGTATTGGATTTTAAGAAATTATTGCTAATTTTGTCGGGTTGGTCATGATTTTGTGGTTGTGTTAAAGATAATCTGTTAGAGGTATGTAATAGAGTATTTAGAGGTGAGACCTGAGATTTTCCTTAAAATACGTCACCAAAAAACAAAGGGGGTCGGGGAGGGTAGATGAAACAGCACTGACGTAATGTTGATAACTGCTGAAGCAGGGTGATGGGTGCCTGGGGGCGTTCACATTATCATTCTCCCTACTTGGTAAGTTTAAAATTTTCTGTAATGGAAATTTAGAATAGAGAAGAAAGCTAATAAACAAAAAATTCCCGGGAGGCTGCGCTCACGCCCTCGCTGAGTTTATGTGGAAATTAAACGAGATAACATATAGGTGCTCAATCAATCTTGGTTCCTTTCCTCTCCTTCCAAAGGCCGTCCTATGGCAATGGCTGCCTTCCGGTTCCTAGCAGTCTATTGCTGGGGTTATGAGCTGCAACTGGATAGTTCTGCTTGGTTTTCCAGAGCAAAGTCCTGACTCTTTTTTTTCTTTTTCTTTTTTTTTTTCTGAAGTCCTGACTCTTGTCCAAAGAAGACATTAGCTATCTTGGAATTTCTATCCGAATTCTTGGTCATTCATCAGGATGGGGTGGAACAGATGAGAGGGTGCTGGGATGGAGCCCATCCACAGGTCCCAGCTCCTTCCCACACACACCACCAGAAGTTCTCAGGAATTTGAGACTGGTCCAAGGTCTCCACCAGCAAGGAGCAGTTGTGGGAAGTGCACACCCAGGGCTGGGAAAGGCAGGGTAGAGGAGGAATGTCCTTAATAATTCATGTATCTCTATCAGGGCTATGACTGTTATCAGCTAACAGTGCCTGGCACATAACAGTGGCTCAAAAATGTTAGTTCTCCTCTCCTCACGCTTTATCAGTTAGCACAGACAACCATTGGTTGACACTGATCCAAGAATAAGAACAAGATAAAGAATAGGTGTTCAGAAAACCAGGAAACACATCCAAGACATAAGGGAGAGGATTCCTGGGCTGAGGAAATGGAGCTAGATAGGAAAGAAGACCAAAGAAGAGGGTGGGGGACAAAGAGAAATGTAGCAGTTTCATAACTTTGCCTAGGCTGAGCCTTGGCCACATCACCTCCTGAACCACCCTTTGACAGACAGGACAAGAGTCGTGATCCCTGATCCATGCAATGATATGAAATGCTTTTAAGGAGGCAGTCCCCACCTACAGACAGCAGACACAGCCTCAGAGGAAATGGGCCTTTAAAGTCTGCTCTCAGCCTGAAGCATCTCCAAGGAAAAAGAAGGCCTAGTGTTTCCCCAACTTGCCTAAGCTTAAGAATTGGAATTTCCAGGGGAAGGGCCTGGGAATCCATGTTTATAACAAGAACCTGGTTGATTCTTATGATCAGGCAAGTTAGGGAAACTCTGGGGATTAAGACAGTGTTTCTCAAGGTAATGGACGCCTGCCTCAGAAGCACTTGGGGAATTTATGAGACCATGTGCAGATTCCCAGGCCTGAACCCAGAACCAGAGAATCAGAATAGCAAGAGGTTAGGGGCCTGGAGCCTGGAATCTGAATTCTTAAAAAAGGTTTCTAGGTGATTCTGATGTGCCCTGCAGTTGGAGAGCCATGGAAACAGCATGGTAGCAAAGAGTATGGGCTCTGGAATCATCATGTCCGGGTTTGAAAACGTATTTCCCCATTCACCAACTGTGGGACCTTAGTAGGTTACTTACTGTTTCTCTACACCTCAGTTTACCTATCTGTAAAATGGGGATGATAATAACATATACATATTATACAGTATGTGGAAAACACTTGACATGGGCCTTAGAATATTAACATACTAATTCTAATCTATTATAATCTAAAATAGAATTGAATCGAATCCTCTGTCCCTCTTTCCTCCAGAGTCCTACTGCATTTTCTTGGTACTTCTGCTGCATCCTTCAGTACAGTCTGCCTTGCGACAGGGTGACTTATGTATACATCTGTCTCCCCGACTCGACTCTGGACTTCCAAAGGGCAGAGACTGTGTCTTTTTTAAATGTTCAAACACGTGCATCATGTTCCATTAGAGTCGGAAGGGCCTTTAGAAGTCACCTAATCCAGCCCCTCATCTGACAGATGAGGGGACTGAGGGTGAATGATGCGCCCCTCATCACGTGGCCAGTGGTTGAACTACAGTCTGAGCCCTGGCACTGCTGCCTACCAGCTATGCCATCTGAGCCTCAAACTCTTCATCTTAAAAAAGGGCATAATGATGTGCAGTTGCCTACTTACTAAGCGGTTGCCTTGCAGGTAAGCACTGATGAAGAACTCCTGCAACCTGAGGAGCATTGTTACGATTACTGCAGACAGGATGCTAGAGTAATTACGGGGCCTATTATGCACTTGTGAGGTTGACATAAGGGAGAGAGTCTGTCATGTTTTCCCACAGCACGGCCTTTGAAGCCCTCATCAGTCAGGCCACAGCCTACCACTTTCAGCCTTAAGCCTTTTAACCTTTTCCTCCAGCCTCTGATCCATTACTTTACCGTCTTATTCATGGCCTAGACTTTCCTCCTAACTCAGTCCAATTAGACCATTTACTAAGTGATCTGACCCATCTCCCTGGCCCTGGCCCTGATGGATCAACTGTTGAATATTATCAGAGACCACAGTTCCCACCCTCTTAGGGTCTTAGTCCTTGGACAAGAAGCTCTAGAAACCAGGACACTCAACTGTGGTATCCTCCAAGCTCTTCCTCAAGGCTTCTTTCCCTGACAGCCAAGTAACCCCCTGTCCCCTCATGACCTTACCATCGTGGTTGGCATTTCCTAATGTCCATGGCTCGTCTGAATCAAAGTGAGTGTCTCCACCAATCCCTGGGCCAGGGAAGTAGGCATGAGCCAGGAATCCCCCTTCGCCATCAAACGGGGAGCTGTCGCCATGGAAGCCAGAAGCAAAGAAGATCATGATGTCGGCCTCCTTCCGGTCACTTTTGATTTCATGGTAGGGCACCTCTTCAAAGGTCAGCGGGGTCACCTTCTGCCACACATCGAAAGCCTGGCGAATAGCTTTCCGCGTGTCTAACTCACCCACCTTTGGGGTGTAGTTGTGAATGCTGGTGAGAGAGGGGAGGATTGATAGGGAGGAACAGACCAAGAATCAGAGACCAGCAGAGCTAAAAGGAACACCAGAGGCCACGTGGGCCTAGAATTCTGCTGAGGTACCTCAGGGGTTGAGGAAGAGGTTGGGTGGGCAGGGCTCTGGGTCCCCACCCCTGCCTTTTTACTTAGTGTTTTTATATTTGATCTCTGAAAAAGCTTGTGTTGAATTTGTAGAAAAAAGATTAAGTTGTGCATGGCATTTCCTAAATTTTAAGTTTTTCTCCGAATACATAAAAATGTATGTTTATAAAATTTATAAAAACACTTAAACAGGGACTTTTCTGGCGGTGCAGTGGTTAAGACTCCATGCTTCCAATGCAGGGTGCCCGGGTTTGATCCTTGGTCAGGGAACTAGATCTCACATGTCGCAACTAAGAGTTCACATGCCACAACTAAGGAGTCTGCCTGCCGCAACTAAGGAGCCCGCGAGCTGCAGCTAAGACCCAGCACAACCAAATAAATAAATTAAATAAATAAATATTTTTTAAAAACCCACTTAAACAGTGGAGAGTTTAAGTCAAATATCCTGTAAAAAAATCTTTGGCACCAACTACTACTGTTTGTCTACGTAGAAGCTGGTATAGGGTGGTATGTGATTAAATCAGTTATAGGTTTAACTATGTAAGGTTACTGTATCCATATTGCATGGTTCTCCACGATGGAGCATCACTACTTCTTGCTGCTCTGCCCCATGAACACCTGGGGCAAAGACTATTCACCCATTCTACAGGTAAGGAAACTGAAGCCCAGAGAGGTTGCGTGGTAGAAGTTAAGGTTAGAATTGGGTTAGAAGCCACTTCTAACTCTACTCTTGAGGAGACTCTAAGTCTATGCAGTTACTAACCCAGATTCTTCTTAAGTTTCCTCCTCTTGTCAGATTTCTGAAAACATCCTGTTCTGGTCTCTACAGCTTGTGAGCAGGAGAGTCCTTAGCTCAGCCCAAAGGATCTTTGTCTCAGATCATACTCCTGAACCCAGGGATCCACCTGAGATGGAATCAGAGACTTGAGAGGTACAAAACAGGGCCCAGCTGAGCCTGCCCTATGCCTGGCCCTGACCCCACCCCATCTGAATCCTGATGTCTGCGTCTGCTGTGATGGGTTCCTTCATCCCTGCCCTTGGTCGCTGGGCTGACTTGGAGCCTGATCCTGCTTTGCCCAGACAGTCAAGGGATGACAACTGTTGCAATTCAGTTCCCAGCTCTTTATGCTCCTTAAGAAACAACTGGAACTCTGTGCTGGGAATCTCAGCTGAAGTCCATTAATCAGGCTAAGTGGGGAAGGGATCCAGATCAGAGGGAGTGGGGTTTGGCAAGCAGCGATAGGGAGGATGGGTTCAGCCATGGTTCTTTATCCCAGGTGAAAGTTACCGAACATACCCCACTTCCCGTAACTAAAAACTCTAGGAATCTGAACAGAGCATAACTCATGAGCCCCTAAAGGACCAAAGAAACCTGAAGCTGGAGACGTAGCATCCTCTGGACGCTACAAGGAGAACAAAGTCATGGGGTCTCAGAGCCTGGCCCTGATCACAGACCCACCTACAGTGTGAGCCTCAGAAACTCAGGCCGGGAAAAATCAGAGTGAGGGTGGAGCCAAAGACAAGGAGGAGGAGAGGGAGTTGAGGCACCTGTAGGTGATGTGCTTCTGCCGCCACTTCTGTCCTGTCAGGGCATAGCGCTTGTTTCTCCGCCTGCGGCTCAAGTGCGGGTGATCAGGGACGCCACATCGGGGTTTCTTCATCCACCTGGGCAGAGAGAGGACACACACACACACACACACCAACACTGTGGTCCCTGGACACTCTAGGAAGGCACTGCAGCTCCCCGGTCCCAGGCTGAATGGCAACATGCACACTCAACCCAGACTCTGGGCCCCTGGCTCTGATGGGGTCCCCGAAAGGAACACGATCGACTGCTCGATTCATCACTTCATTCACTCCTAACTGAATATGACGAAGCGCTGCTGCATAAGAGACTGGGAGTCAGAAGACACGGGCTTGCTAGTTCCAGCTCCGTCACTAATCATAGGAGCCCAGGCAAGCGACTGAGTCAATGTGAGCCTCAGTTTCCTCATCGGCAACGTGAGAATTCTAGTTCTCGCTGGTCTTAGCTTGTGGGGAGCCTCCAAGGAGGGAATGCATGCGGAAATGCTCTGTAAATGAAATTAGATCACATCACTCCCTGCTTTAAAACCTCCCAATGATCTCCCCAATCACCTAGAATAAAACTCAAACTCCTCACGTTGGCCCACAGCCCCTGCGTGATCCGCGATCTAACCCCCACCTACGCGTGATGACACCGGCACCCCCTGCTTCCCCACAGGCACTCTGCTCCAGCTCCAGTGGCCTCCCTGCTGTGCCTTGAACATGCTAAGATCATTCAGCTCAGGGTTTTGCATTTGCTGTGTCCTCTGCTTGCCATGCCCTTCTTCACATGGTTTGTTCCCTTACTTCATGAAGGTCTCTGCTCAAATGTCACCCTTTCCAAGAGGACTTCCCTGCCACCCTCTCTAAAATAATTTCCCCCTCCCCATCCCACCTCTATCTGTTTACCCCGCTTAATTTTTCTTTATATCCTTTATCATTGCCTGAAATTACATCATATCTTAGCTTTTTGTTTATTCTTTGTCTCTCTTACCAGGTTCTAACTCCATAAGGACAGGAACCTTGCCTGTATCCCCAGTGCCAGCACAGTGCCTGACTCAGAAGGTGTTCAAGAATGATTTGTTGAATGAATGAATGAGAACTTTCCCATGGTAGAAAGGCATAGCTTGGAAGACAGTAAAGTCTCTTTCACTCCAGGTGTTCAAAAAGTGGCTGAACAGGACTTCCCTGGTGGCACAGTGGTTAAGGGTCCGCCTGCCAACGCAGGGGACACGGGTTCGAGCCCTAGTCTGGGAAGATCCCACATGCTGCGGAGCAACTGAGCCCATGTGCCACAACTACTGAAGCCCGTGCTCCTCAACAAGAGAAACCACCACAATGAGAAGCCTGCGCACCACAATAAAGAGCAGCCTCTGCTCACCGCAACTAGAGAAAGCCCGCGTGCAGCAACGAAGAAGACCCAACACAGCCAAAAATAAAAATAAATAAATAAAAAAGTGGCTGAAAAACTGTAGGACTTGGAGGGTAGTTATCGGCAGCACTTAACTACCCTGTATTGTGATTTGAAATCCATTAGTCTGTTGTCTCTAGTAAATAGTAAATTCTTTGAGGACAGGAACTGTTTTGTGTTCATCGTGTCCTTAGAAGCTAGCCCTGTGCTTGGAACTAAGTAAATCCTGATAACTGTTTGCTGTCAGGTTAGGTTGCATTAGGGAACAGTGAGCCTGGGACTTCATTGGGGATATAAAATAGGGGCCAGGATAGGAGATTTAAAAGATCACGGCTGATTGGAAGGGCCATCCTTGCATTTCATGTCTCTGTGCTGCCCTAATGACCAGCTCACTGAACTATAGATTGAGATCGCTGGGGGAAAAACAGTCTGGCCTTATTTGCAGTTGTTGAAAGCAGTTGCCTTTGGCAATAGAGAGAATAGGAGACAGAGACTATTTTAACCAAATATTAAGGGACTTGAGGGACTTAACCAGGTCTTACTCATTTTGTATGCTTTACATCACCTAGAATGTCCACACTCGGAAATCAATAACAAAAGACAAAATAATAACAATAACATGCATGGGTATAAATGTTGATCATTTTCACAGTGTTCACTTACTTTTTTAAAAAAAAAATAAATTTGATTCTCAAAACAGCTCTGTGAGGTAATCAGAAATGATTGATCCCAATTTTACAGACGAGGGAAAAGGTACAGAGATAAATCGAGTAACTTGCAAACTATAGCAAACTGTGAGGCAGGACTGGGACTTCGTTGAATGAATGAATGAACTATTAATTAATGCAATTTGAGAAACAAAAGCTGGGGCTTTTCTTCTTTATTTTTCTTTTCTGTGCTTAGCACAAGTTTGGGTTAGAGGAACTATGTTTGTTGAATGAATGAAGGAGTGAATAATGTACGATATTTCCCAAGGTAGGCACTCAAAAATAGTATTTTAAAGTGCTAATCTAGCTTCCTTTCACTGACAGTCCCTGGGAAGAGACCCAGGAGGCACCTCCAGGAGGCTGAACTAGACCTGGAAGGGCCCCCAGGGAGGAAACAGGCCCAGAGAGAGGCAGCGATTGCCCAAGGTCACAGAGCTGGAGCCAAAACTAAGGTCTCCAAGTTCTACCCGCAAACACCTTCCGCATCAGGTCTGGGATTAAGTGCGAGCACCTTCCTCCTTCCCAAGCCTCCAAAACAGCGTTCCCCGCCTTCCTACGAAGAGCTGGGGGCAGAGCGGCAAGTGGGAAATGCCATCTTCCTCCCTCAGATCTTTCCCTCTGCCTCCTTCTCTTGCTGCCACCTGCCACTCTCTGAAGCCTGTCCAACAGGCCTGCGGCTTCTGGAACAGAGCGAAACCCAAGGCCAGGTGGTGCCTCAGCAGACACACCAGTGCTCCTGCCCCGGGATGTGCTGCCATGAGCCCTGCACAAAGCCCTCAAAATAACCTCCGCTTTGAAAGGCGGTCAAGCTCTCTTTGACCAGCTGGCTCGTGAGGCCACAGGGCCAAGGAGTCCACTGTACTCACAGCATCGTAGGAGCGGTCAAATGTATTATCTCAGAATTTCACAATCAGAGAATTTGAGGAATAGAAAATGTTCATACAGAATTTTAGTATCATAAAACCCCAGACTCGGACTTCCCTGGTGGCACAGTGGTTAAGAATCTGCCTGCCAGTGCAGGGGACACGGATTCGAGCCCTGGTCTGGGAAGATCCCACATGCCGTGGAGCAACTAAGCCCGTGAGCCACAACTACTGAGCCCGCGCTCTAGAGCCTGCGAGCCACAGCTACTGAGCCTGTGTTCCACAACTACCGAAGCCCGCGTGCCTAGACCCCGTGCTCCACAACAAGAGAAGCCACCACAATGAGAAGCCCACACACCGCAAGGAAGAGTAGCCCCCGCTCGCCACAACTAGAGAGAGCCCGCGCACAGCTACAACGAAGACCCAATGCAGCCAAAAAATAAATTAAAAAAAAAAAAAGAATCCGCCTTCCAATGCAGGGGATGCGGGTTCGATCCCTGGTCGGGGAACTAAGACCCCAAATGTCGTGAGGCAACTAAGCCCACGCACCACAACTACTGAACCCGCGCACCACAACGAAAAATCCCGTATGCCGCAACTAAGACCCGACACAGCCAAAAAACAAAACAAAACAAAAAACCCCCAGACTCACTAAATTTTAAAAGCTTAGAATAATGGAATCTAGAATTTAAAAGTCAAAAATCCAACACTTCCCCCACCCACCCCCGTGTAAATGAACAAGATGAGGCCCAGAGAGATGCTTATCTCAAGGAGTGACTCACCCAAGGGATGGATTGATCCTGGATCCACAATTGGCTAGATTTCCTGTTCTCCACCCACTGACTTCCCTGCATCCTCCCCCAGCCCCGCTCCTTCTTTCCACCTGAGCTCGGGCTCTTGCCCCTCCCCCACTGCTTGGGAAACTCACTCCAGCTCTTGGTCATGCCTTCGTGGCAGCTATGGCTTTTCTTAAACAGCTTTAATAACTTTCATGGCTATTCCTTAAAAATATATATAATATACTCAACTCTCTCCCATCTTAAACAAACAAAAATTCATCCCTCTCTAGCTCCAACCAGGGACTGAACCCCGGCCATGGCAGTGGATGCCCAGAATCCTAACCACTAGGCCATCAGGCAACTCCCACTGATCAGCTTCTTGAAAGTTGTCCCTACCTGTGTCATCTCCACTCCTCACCTCCCCTTCTCCCCACCGCAATCTGACTTTCCTGCCACCACTCCAGGGAGGTTTCAATGGCCAACCTCTTTGTTACTAAACTCAGCAGACACCTTTCAGTCTCCTGTTTGACCACTATGGCAGCCGACCCTGCTGACCATCCCCCTTCACCGCCATGGCATCCCCGCCCTGGGCTTCCTTCACCTCTCAGGCTGCTCCTCCTCGGCTTGTTTTTTTTTTTGCGGTACACGGGCCTCTCACTGCTGTGGCCTCTCCCATTGCGGAGCACAGGCTCTGGACGCGCAGGCTCAGCGTCCATGGCTCACGGGCCCAGCCGCTCCGCGAAATGTGGGATCTTCCCGGACCGGGGCATGAACCCGTGCCCCCTGCATTGGCAGGCGGACTCTCAACCACTGCGCCACCAGGGAAGCCCTCTCGGCTTATTTTGTGAGTTCCATCCCAAGCACTCTTCTCTCCCTCCTCTTTATCCTCTCCCTGAGTATAAAAACCATCCCTGTAGCTTGGCTTACTTGTCATTACCTCCTAAGTATCTCCCTGAACCTCAGTGTTTCCTTCTGAGTTCTAGACCAGTGTAGCTAGATGATGGTGTTTTTCACTAAATGGGGAGCCTCTGGAGGGCAGGGATCAAAGGACCAAGCCCAGTGCCTGGCACACGCAGGCATTCAGCAAATACTTGATAAATGGGAATAGTGGAATAAGACTTGCCAACTCATTATTATTTTAGAGTCTCTGTATCAAGTGAGATGTGGACATCTCAGGAATGCCAGAGGGGTGACTCACAGACCCACAAGTTATTAGTGTCAGAGGAGATTTAAGACCATCTATAACCAAACCCTTTATTGTGCTGATAAGGAAACTGAGACCCAGAAGGGTTAAGAGTCTTGTCCAAGGTCACACAGCAAGTTTACGGCAGAGCACATCCCCAGCTCACATAGGAAAGGGCACCTCGGGGTACTCCCTCCCAGGATGACACTGCAGGGGTAAAAGATAGGAAGGTAGGATGGGCATGGTATACAGATGAGGCCATGACAAATGTGAACCCAAATGTAAGTCTGGAAAGTTCAGAGGCACAATGTCCTATGCAAATCTTACTCGATTGTTGTCTGATCCAACACACCGGTGACTGGGATCCCGTAAAACTGCTGCATAGTGGCGACTGCTGACTGTAAGGCCTTCCCTGAGTGCAACGCAGATGCCCGTGAGTCATAGGGCAGCAGATAGCCGTATGACTTTAACCAGTTCTGAAAGACATGTGAAAAGAAAAGGATGCATTACGCGAGAGAAGGCTCTGTTCTACCTGGGCAGAGATTTGCCCTTGAAACCAGGGATCGTTTTACCTGAGGGACTTATGGACTCAGCCTCTGATTCCTGCCTCCTTCATTCCCTCCTGCAGACACTGTCAAATTAACCTCCAGAAAACCCAGCTCTTGTTGGCTGACTCTTCTGCTCTAAAACTTTCACTGGATCTCTACTGGCTGCAGAATAAAGATTAAATTGCATTCCAGGCTTTCCAGTACCCTGCCTCTTTACCATGTAGGTGTTTTCCACTGATATATGACTACACATGCAAGAGCACCAGAACAGTTCATTCTCGGAAGCAGACTGGCCTGATAAAACGCTGTGCCACCCAGAAACTCACTGTGTCCAAAGGCAGTCTGCTGAAGAATCATGTTGTAGAATATTAGTAGGCATGAGATTATCTGTGGTCTTTATTGCTGATCCCTCCAAAAGAGCAAGCCATTATAAATAAACATAAACAAAATAAGCAAAACAATGTATTATTTAATTTAAATATGAGTACACAAATATATGCACAGAAAAAAGCCTAGAAGGGCGCACATAACATAATAATAGTATGGTTATGTAAGAGAATTCTTTGTTTTTAGGGAATACATGCTGAAGTATTTCAGCTTACATAACGGTGCACAATGTCTGCAACTTTTTCTTCAACAGAATCAGGGGAAAAATAGAGAGAAAGAGGGAGAGGAGAGAGAGGGAGAAAAAAAACCCCACAAATATAGTTAAATGTTAGGAGTTGGGGAATGTGGGTGAAACGTATTCAGGAATTCTTTGTCCTATTCTTGAAAACTTTTCTGGAAGTCTAAAATAATGTCAAAATTTTTTTCAGTAAAAAAAGAATTAATTTGAATATCCTTTGTTATAATATCTTGGGGGACTTTTTTCTGTGCTTTTCTAAATTTTATGCATGGAGTCATTTTTTTTAAAGAAGGAGAAAAACTTTAAAAGGGCAAAAGAGTCTGAAAGTAGCTTGGATGAAGAAGCTCAAACAAACAATGAATCTGAAGGACAGCAAAGTAAAGATGATTATTTCCACCAACAAGCATGAGGGATGGAAACAGAAGAAATCAGAAGAAATCACAGCACCAGGAAATATCTGTGGCACCAATTGGAAAATGGGGGAAATATCCACATATCTATGGAATCCGCAAGCATGTCCTATAAGGAGCACACCTACACACTGGTCTCTAAACCACACAGGACCTGCTGCTCTTCCTCAGAGGATTATCTTGAACATCAAGTAAGCTAATGAAGCAGAAAGATCTTAGGAAGCTGGCTTATATCCTTCCCATCTATAGTTTTGTTTCTTGTTTCTATATGAACAGTCTTATTGTGGACGCATCTGTTACAAGTCAAATCAAACCATTTTGGGAAGGAGGCAGACCAGAAACTATAAACAAGTTGTTATTTATTTCATCCCAGGTGGCTATCACATCTTTACTGCCTTGTGATGAAATCCATCTGACTGAGTAAAAACAGAAGAGTCATGGGACTTCCCTGGTGGTACAGTGGTTAAGGCTCCACGCTCCCAGTGCAGGGGGCCTGGGTTCAATCCCTGGCCTGGGAAATAGATCCCACATGCATGTCACAACTAAGAGTTTGCATGCCACAACTAAGGAGCCTGCCTGCTGCAGCTAAGGAGCCCATGAGCTGCAACTAAGGAGCTTGCCTGCCACAACTGAGACTCAACCAACCAAATACATAAATAAATAAATATTTTTAAAAAACCCAAAAACAAAACAGTCAGAATAATAAAGTCTTAAAACATCCACAAGAGAGTGACAACCTTACCTCTTTCATGTTTGAGATCCAAAACCTGTTTTTCATTCTAAATTTTGGCACAGGATTTCAATACTTCTTGCACTTTCCCAAACTTTGAATCTCTTTCATGCCTTTGTATGTTTCCCCCATCTGCCTGGCATATTTCTTTTTTTTTTTTTCCTAAAATTGACCATTGTAACCATTTTATTTAGTTTTTTGAAATGCTTTATTCATTTATTTATGGCTGTGTTTGGTCTTCGTTGCTGCACGCAGGCTTTCTCTAGTTGCGGCAAGCGGGGGCTACTCTTCATTGCAGTGCGCATGCTTCTCATTGCAGTGGCTTCTCTTGTGGAGCACGGGCTCTAGGCACGCGGGCTTCAGTAGTTGTGGCATGCGGGCTCAGTAGTTGTGTCTCTCAGGCTCTAGAGCACGGGCTCAGTAGTTGTGGCGCACATGCTTAGTTGCTCCGCGGCATGTGGGATCTTCCCGGACCAGGGCTTGCACCCTTGTTCCCTGCATTGGCAGGCGGATTCTTAACCACTGTGCCATCAGAGAAGTCCCTATGCCTGGCATATTTCTAAGTTTGGCAAAAATCTTTCATTATTTTAAGGTTCAGTCCATAAATTACTCCCTCTGAAAGACTTGTCTCACTCCTCAGCCTGTTATTTTCGTCCTCTTCTGTGCTCCCTAAATCCCCTGTTACAGATGGTATCGCTCTTATAATATTGGGCTCTAATCATTACTTTATGTATCAGACTCTGAGCTCTGAGTTCCTCCAGGGAAGGGTCTGTGTTTTAATCATCTCTCTATATCCGGTGCCCAGGAAGTGCCTGACAAAGTAGCTGATCATTGTCTCCCTTCAACAAACATTACTGGGCACTGACTACCTGCTGGGCACTGTGCATGGCTCTGGGGATACAACGATGAATAAGGAGCTCACAGACCAACAAGTAAACCTCTCTCTATATCCGGTGCCCAGGAAGTGCCTGACAAAGTAGCTGATCATTGTCTCCATTCAACAAACATTACTGGGCACTGACTACCTGCTGGGCACTGTGCATGGCTCTGGGGATACAACGATGAATAAGGAGCTCACAGACCAACAAGTAAACCCACCATGAAAATACAGCACTAACAATCAGGTGTGTAGAGGGTTCCATGGGAGAGCGAAGGTGGGTGGCCTTATCCACATAGAGGGGTGGAGATGGGGAGCAAGGGGGAACTCAGGGGAGGCTTCCAGGTGGAGCTAAGTCTTGAAGGATTGCACAGCATGTGCAATTGCCTGGAGGTGTTGGGATGCATAGCACATTCTGAGCAGTATTTAAAATGGCTGGAACTTGCGGGAGAGGAGTGTGGTGATGAGTGGAGAGGATTGGAAAGGAGGGGAGTGGGGAGAGATGATTTGCCATTAATTATCTGTTCACAAAGTGGGCAACTTACAGAGAATCACTTGTGACTTGACTGTGGTCTCGGATCAGCCAAAAAGCTCATTTAAAGCATCTGGAAATGGACATGATAGGGCAACTGACAAGGTACCTGTCTATTCATCCAGCTCCAGTTTCTATTCCCAGGTCAGTTATGTCATCAAAGCATTAAGTTCCTGCACAGTATTCCTCAGCCCCTCCCAGCCAGCATGCCACATTCCGTTCTTTCTTTACAGAAACTTCAATGAAGAATTGTTGGGTTGAATAAACAGGGAGGTATAGTGGGAAAGAGGTGCACAGTCCTGAGATGGAATCCCGGCTTCACCACTTGCCAGCTGTGTGACTTTGGACAAACTGAGCTTCAGTTTCCTTCTTTGTAAAATGTAAACAATGACCTTCCTCCACAGGATTGCTGTTAAGATGAAATGATCAAATGTACCTGACATATAATCACTCAAAAGTGATTCGTTTGTTATCCCTTTGGATGGTGTCTCTGTTACCTTTTGTAAAATCAACGTGGAAAACATGGTCTTTGACTCCTTCCCTGTCTTTTGAAATCTAGTCATCCTGCCCTCCCCCTGGACCAAGAGCCAGTCCTCGTGGGTCCTATGGAGGGTAGTGCATCTGTCACAGTCAAGTCTACCTGCTCTCGGATGACCTATGGGCATGAACATCTCTCACACGGCACTGGGAACACTGCATTCAGAGAGATGACAGCCAACTTGAATTGTTCTCTTCGCCCTGTCGCTCAGCTTTATTGGGACCAAACACAATCACTTTCTATCAAGCTTTAGCTTGAGGAAAATGGTTTCCCTACAGGAGATTCTGCATACTTTCTGGTTTCAGAAAATGCACACTGGGTAACCCAGTGGTTTTCCATTTTTGGCCTTTCTGCCAGAAATCTTTCAGTCAAATTTATAGCATAAGTGTTGAACACGGTGATGCTTGGAAGTAGCTATTACTTTTTTCATCTTTCCAACCACCAAGTTATGTTTCATCCTTAAAAATCTTACTTAAAAACATTGCTTCACTCTGTAAACTGCCTCAAACCCTTCCAAAAAGAGGTGTGGTACAAACTAAAATCCAATACCTCCCTATCTGTGGACTCAGTTCTCTTAAAATCCAATTAGGATGAATTACAGCATTTGGGAAATGGCTGGGGAACTTTCGACAGATAATTCTGACAAACCAGTCAACCGACCGAGTATTTTTTGAGCACCTACCTCCAAGCTAGTATGGAATTTAAGGATCTTCTTCCCTCCTGCCCTCATTACTACGTATGGTAGGAGATAAGGAACAGGGAATTTTTGGCATAAACTCTCTTCAGCCTTCTAAAACTTTGGGGAATTGAAAGTAGCTCCTCCTCTGTAAAGGGCAACCTGGTTTACCCAGCTCTTTTTTTCAGATACTCAAGCAAGGAGCATCTCAAAGCCAATCAGGATCCATTATGAAGTTCTCAGCAGTGCCAGGAGTTAGGATCTAAGGACTCAGGTCTTAGGCAAATGTCTAGTTCAGGGCCAAACATTGGAATGGATCAGCCTTCTCTGGGTTCTGCTTCCCTCCCAAGTTCACTGGGAGCTCAGGGGCAGACCCTTAAGAGGGGAAATGGGAGGGGGAAGAACTGGTCAAAGGACAGCTCTAAGCCAGGGAGTGCGTGTGTGTGTGCGCGCGTGCGAGTGTGTGTGTGTGTGTGTGTGTGTGTGTGTGTTACAGGGTGGGAGGCTAAGGACTATGCATTAGGGACCAGACAGTTCCAACTTCTGCTGTTTAACCCTGTCTCTGCCATTCACCTGCTCTGTGACCCAGGCAATACTCTGACTTCTCTGAGCAGAAGCTCCTAATGTTGAAGGAAGTCTTCTACACTCCAGTAGTCCCAAGTCCAGAACATTCCCTGCCCTTTCACACTTCCAGGCTGTTCCTGCTGCCAACAGAGCCCATTCTCTTTATGCATGTTAGCAAACTCATCCTTCAAAATCTAGCTGAAATGTCACCTCCTTTGGAAAACCTTCCTTAACTCTCCCTGGCAGAGCTAGGGGGCACCCTCTTTACTCCTGCAGTGCTTACTTCTCTAAACGTTGCTCTAAACGTAACTACCATGGTGTATCACACCTGTTGGTTGATATGTTTTCCCCACTAGATTGAGTTCCCAAGGAGCAGAGACTGTCATATTTATTTTTATATCTGCTACAGTACTTAGCACAGTGCCTGGCATAATAAATAATCACTGAATGAATGAGTGAGTGAAGGAAGGAATGAATGAGTGAACAAACAGCTGGTCTAGGAGGTACTGTCTGGGTACCAACGAAGGGATTTCATCTTGGGAAGGTTTAATGAGTCATACACAATGAAAGCACCAAACACAATCCTTGGTATCTATTAGGGACTGAAAAAACCGTTTTTGCTGAAATTCAATCTTTTGTGGTTTGACTTCTTTGCCTGATGAGGCAAGAGGCTCCATTGTCCCATTTGAAAAAAGATAAAATCCACTAAAGGAAAAAAAAAAAAGCCCCATTCAGTTTTAAACAGAATGACCTACCTTTCATCTTTTTACACCTGGATCCATTAATCAATCACCAGCCGTGTCAGAATTCTAACCTTTACAGCTCAGTTAACCAACTCTAAGATGTCTGTCACCCTTTAAGTGCTGGAAAAGGTGTAAACCCAGAGGAAAGTGAGAAAGATCTCAGAGTGCGAGCAGGGACCAAAATAGCTGGGCTGAACCGAAGATGGAGAGACTACCAACAGCACCGCGTGATTGGTCCGCTGCCCAGAAGGCGGGATTTTGGTTCCCGAGAAGCCGAAGCTGAGATGTTTAGCTGCAGTGGCAGGCAAAGGAGAGAGCGGAGAATAACAAGGAGAAAAAAAGTGGCCCGAAGAGGGAAGAGAGCGGCAGACAGCAGAGGCGGTGGTGAGATTAGAAGTGTCAATGGAGGCGGCAAGTAGCAGATCAACTGGTGTGCTGCCGTTTGCTCTTGGAAAACAGATATGGCCATGGGGGAGGAGAGAGATGGATCGGTCAAAACAGCGTCTCCTGGGGCTGTTCAGGAGCATTGCATCTGGTTGGATGTGAACCCAAACCATACTGTAGAGGCCTGGAGAAGGAGCAGGGGAATGATTAGGATCTGGTGTTTGGTCAGGAATCCAGTGGGTCTGAAGGTAATGTCAGAAAGGCCAGAGGCAAGTCTACAAAGAAGGGACAGGCAGGAAGGTGTTAAATTTGGAAGCATGGGCTGGAATGAGAAAGAAAGAATCAAAGATCTTGATCAAAGAGTTTGGGCAGCTGAGGCCATAATCTAGGGTGACAATGTGAGTAACAGGAACAAGGCATCGACCTCAACATGCATGGGAAGTCCAAGTCCAGTTCTAGAGGGACAGCGACAAGCTAGAGCATGACTAAGGGAGAGTGGCCAGGAGAGTGAGGGAGTCATTCATAGGAACCATAGCCCACGAGGAAAGATAAGGGATGTTTAGGCTGGAGAAGGGAGGACTGCAGGGGACGTGACTGTCTTCAAAAAGCCAAATGGCTATGGATGAAGGAGACTGGCAGACAGCCAAGCTAAGACCAACACAGGAGATCACAGGACATAGATCTTGACTCACTCAAATAAACAGCTTTTTAACAGAGATGTTCTAATTATAGTAACAAGGATATAGCTACTATTATTAGAACTCCTACTATATACCTGGCACTGTGCCAGGCAGTCTAGACTGCAACGACCCCACAAGGTAGGAATTATGATCCCCAATTTGCAGTTGAAGAAACTGAGGTTCAGAAAGGTTAAATAATCATCCAGAGCCACAAAGCTAGTAAGTAGCAGGATTCAAACCCAGTTTTCTCTGAAACCAGGCATTTCACACTGTCAGACCACTGGACAGGCATCCCTTTCCCCTCGCAGGACTTTCTATAGCTCACACTCCTTTCTGTACCTTATCTCAGATCACCGTGAGCTCAATACCCTTCTGCTGTGATTCCTACGCCAGGCTTCAGCACCACCCCCCACCCAGTTATCAAACCAGAAGCTTCATATGACACACGTCTCCCCACTCTCCTTGGTCCACATTGTCTTTTACCAAAGAACTATAGGCTCTACCTCCTAAACATCGAATCTGTTTCTGTCTATTCATTCAATAAGTATTTATTGAGGACCTACTACGATGTCCAGGCACTGTGCGCTGGGCTCTGGGATAGAACATCGAACAAAAACACTCTCCATACTTTCTAGCTACAGTCTAATGGACGAACCATTTTGCAATAAGTGCTATAAAAAATAAAGTAGGGTAAGGGGATGGAGAGTGATGGGACAACTTTTTTATTGAGAATGGTCAGGGGATGTCTCTGAGGAAGTCATATCTGAGCAAGAGACCTGAAGGAGGTGAGGGAGTTCCAGGAAGAGGGAACAGAAAGTGTAAATACCCTGAGGCAGCTTCAAAGTCTTCCCATCAAGAGCTTTTGAGGGAGGGGGAAACCGGAGGTATTAGTCAAAGGGTACAAAATTTCAGTTACACGAGATTAATAAGTCCTGGAGAGCTACTGTACAGCATAGTGCCCATAGTCAACAATACTGTATTATACGCTTAAAACATTTGCTAAAAGGGCAGACATTAAGTTCTTAGCACAAGGTGATGATGATAGAAATAAAGAGGGCAGGAGGAAACTTTTGGAGGGGATGGATTTGTTTATGGCATAGATTGTGGTGATGGTTTCACAGGTGTAGACTTAGCTCCAAACTCATTAAGTTGTACGCAGTAAATATGTGAAGCTTTTTGTATGTCAATTATACCTCAATAAAGTAGTTTTTAAAAAACCAAGAGGCTTTATGATATGGTCCCTGACTACCTCTGCAGCCTCCTTTACCACTCCCCACCTAGCACTCTGTGTTCTAGTGTGTTCTAATTCTTCCAGACCCTGACATACATAGTTCCTTCTGTCTAGATCACGTTCCTCTCTCTTTTTCTGGGGAAGCCTTCCTTGACCCCTTAACTCAGGAGTTCCTTCTACATCCCTGGTCAGTACCCATCCTTTTCCTTATCACAATTCTTATCACACAGTGTTGCAATGGAATCGCTTGTCTCCTCTGCTTGACTACACAATGCCCGAGGGCAGGGCCCATAGTCTTGTCTTCTTCACTATTGTATCCCCACACCTAGCACAGGGCCAGCATAGATACCTCTTTATTGAATAAAACAAGTTGAAGTGCTCAGGGAGAGGATGAGTCATTGCTGGTCAAAATTTGCTATAGAACAGTGTTTCTCAATCCCGGCACTACTGGTATTTTGGGCCAGATAATTCTGTTGTAGCAGGGCTGTCCGGTGCATGTAGGACATTTAGCAGCATCCCTGACTTCTACAACAAGATGCCAACAGCACCACCCCCTCAGCTGTGACAACCAGAAATGTCTCCATTGGCCAAATAGTTCCCTCAACGGTGGGCAAAATTGTCCTATGTGGAGAACCACTGTTATAAAGGGATTCCCATATAGGGCTGCCTTGAATATTCTCTAAGGGTCCTTTCAACCCTAAATTCTGCACTAGGCATTTAGGGAAAGCACTAGGCATTCAGTCGATAGCCTCCTAGGATGGGGCTCAGAAGGAGAGCTGGTTTCCTTATCTGAGCAGGTGGACATGAATGGTAGTGAGGTGTGGAGAGCAGTGAGGAGCGAGGCAGCTTGAGAGGACATTTAGGGTATGGTTAAGAGTACACGCTCTGGAGACACACCGTGCTGGGCTCAAATCCTAACTCTCCCATTTACTTGTTACACAACCCTCAGCAAATTATTCAGCCTCGCTACTGCTCACATCAAGCTCCATCTGCATGATGTCCTTAGCATGTGCCCCATGGAGTGGTTGTAAAGATTAAATAACATAATACGTGGTATTGAGCGCTCAGTAAAAGATAGCAATAATAATGGCTGTTATTTTCCTGATAGGTGACAAACAACTCTAAAGCCCTCACTGCCCTGCAGCCCCAAACACTGAGGCTGTGTTTCTCACTGGGCAGTCCTTGTGCATCATGGGCTGTCAGCATCACCTCATCCAATGAACTTGTTAAAAGCATGTATTCCCAAACGTGAATTTAGACCTAAAAATCCGACCCTCTGAGGTTGGGAACTGGGAATCTGCGTGTTTTTTTTTTTTTGCGGTACACGGGCCTCTCACTGTTGTGGCCTCTCCCATTGCGGAACACAGGCTCCGGACGCGCAGGCTCAGTGCCCATGGCTCACGGGCCAGCCGCTCCGCGGCATGTGGGATCTTCCTGAACTGGGGCACGAACCGGTGTCCCCTGCTTCGGCAGGCAGACTCTCAACCACTGCGCCACCAGGGAAGCCTGGAATCTGCGTTTTTAAAAAGAGAGCACCTAAAGTGATTCTGTTGCCTACTAAAGTTTGAGAACCACTGCAGTAAGGACGGCTGGGAGTTGATGACCCTGTGCCACGAAGAATGGGCATGTTGTGTTCAGTATCACCTCTGATTTGCTAGGACAGGAAGCATGTTGCCATTTAGGAAAGCCTTCTATTAAAGTTGGCTCAAAAGCCAGCCCCTGCCCTCTGTGCCTTGGCTCTGCTCTCATCCCTGGGTCCTTCACCTGCCTGTCTCCTCAGCCAGCCCTTACAAGTGGGTTTTGGCCTCAGTTTCCCTGGCTGGCACTCAGGTCCTAAACTGAGATTGTAAGGACGCTAATCTGTTTCTCAGGACCTCAGGTTCCCTGCCTGGTTCTCAGTGTCCTCCGGAGAGTGAGACTCTAGTCCCTACACACCTGGGAGCTGAGTGAGGTTGTATCTGAAAAGACAGGTCACTTGGGACCCAGATGCTACCGCATGCCAAATATTACTTAACTCTGCTCCTTCCAGCTGAGTGTCCTTGGGCAAATGACCTAACTTCTTTAAGCCATCATTTTTATTCATCCGTTACACAGAGGATATTAAAAGAAGGGTTGTTAGGAGGATTCAGTAAGATGATGATTCAGTAAGATTCAGTACTAGCTGAAATTATGGCCCTTCAAAGATGTCCACATCCTAATTCCCGAAACCTGCTATGTTGCCTTACATGGCAAAGGAGACTTTACAGGTATGATTAAGCTAAGGATCTTCAGGTGCGGAGATTAGCCTGGCTCATCCAGGTGGTCTCAGTGCAATCACAACGGTCCTTATAAGAGGGAGGAAGGACATCAGAGTCAGAGATGGAGACGTCAAGACAGAAGCAG